AAACCGTAGTTCGCTATCTAGGTTTGGAGACCGTGGACTGCTTAGGGCATCAGAATCCTCAAAAAGGTCTAAAGGCGTGAAAACAAACTTGTGGTTGGACAGGGCTCATTGCCCTCGGAAACACAAATGTGCAATCTGAATCTCCTTCTTTTTAGATAAAGGCAGGTAGGGAATGATCAGACAAAACATTCCCTAACATGCGCGGTCAGGCCTGCTGTCATTTATCAAGAGACTTCTAGGAATTGGCAACAATAACGAGTTCGAAAGCTTATCCATTCAAAATACGTGAAAAGGGCCAGGCTGGACACTCAAAAGATTCCCTTCTCCAACGGAGTGACCGAAGCTTTGGATATTGTTATGTTAGGCGGAAGCTGGATGGATATACTAGACCGCACTAAAATATAACCCGAGTGACGTCGCCTAGATGATTGTGAAAATTTATAATTGAGAATAACAAAACTCGATGGCTGGGACAACACATATTCACCTGACGATTCGAAATCCGTAGCAGATTCTCCATAAGGGACATGAACAGAAAACATTAATAGACACGGGCAATACTCGTACAACATTTCCACCCACTCCGCACAAGGCCGAAGGAGGGAAAACTCAAAGGCCTATGCGGTGAAGACTCTCACTTCTGTTGCCGCAACTGCAAACTGCTAGGCATGCATCAAACGTTACTGCTATTAATTTCCGTCCACGTCCACATGCCGCCACTTCGGGAAAGCAAAGGCCACCGCCTCGTCTTATAATAACACTGAGGAAACAGATGGCTGAGCAATCATCACGTCCAATTCCACCACGCGTGATGTAAGTTCAACAGGTCACGGTCCGCATGGTGACAATCAAACCATTCGCGCACAAGAGGGCAGTTATCGTTAATTGTCGTTATTTGTCCTAAGTATGTAGTAATGACTGTGTCTAATAAATACTGCACCTTCCTGTGCATGTATCACCCGTTTCTGCTACTATTTTCTGCGCATGTCTCTTATGAAGAATCCAAGGCGGAGGTCGAAATGGCAGGCGAATAAAAGTGTTGTTCCAGTGATTGAATTCTCTTTTCAATTACTCCCTGGGACTCGCATTTTCGCCTGTATTGGCCCTTTATTTGGGCGCGATGCTCTCCAAATGGCCCGACGATGGCAAACTTTAACCCTTCGTGAGGCCTCAACCTATTCGCAAATCCGGTTTCTGCACAGGTGGCTGGACAAAAACTATTTGCCAAAGGGTGTTACCCACAAATCCACGGTGAACACGGAGGCGGCCAGACTCGCAATATTTCTACACGGCAAAACAATGATCCCTTTGATCCTTCAAGATTGCTACACGAGGCTGCGCAAATACCGTCAGATAATTGACCAAGAGAAGACCATATGCTGTAAATGCATGGGCGAAGACAGCACAAAACTGCTTCAGCAGGAAATGCTTGAACGAGCCCGCGATAAGTAAGCAATTCGAGAAGCAGCACTGGAGAACAAATTTCGCAAATTGCCTAATTCAATGTCATCCAGAAACGACATACTGGTACACTAGCTGGCATCGAAAGAGCTGACGAAGCAGCAAATACAGGTTCTACAACATGAAACTTCATTTAACACGGCTGATACCAAACCTGCTAATATGATTGCAGCTATCGAATCGGAAGATACAAAAGAAATTATCCGACACCAGGTATCGTCCCTCCTGATGGCTCATCAACCACTGGAAATGCTGCCCAAGTTAGAAAGCGTTGCACTAAGAGCACTCAAGTCCGACCGGGACATCGTCATCGTGCTAGCCGACAAAGGACGTTCCACCGTCGTAATGGACAGAACGTACTCTCCGCAAAAGACAAAAAACTTGGTGGAGGATCGCTAGTTTTATGCTCCATGCGAAACCAACCCCATAAAAAACTGACACGCGAAATTAACTCCACCCTGTTGGCATAAGAGAATTCGGATGCAATAAAGCAGTCTGACCGACCCACGACAAGAGCGCAGGAAACGGCTGTGGCCCGCTACTATGGCCACACTAAGGTGCACAAGGTGGGCGATCCTCTCCGATC